TATCATATTTATGGCCAAATGGTCCAACTTAAAAATGTACAAAAGATTTGAATGGGTATTTCACTAAAGAAGACATATTAAAGGGCAATGAGACATGAAAGATGCTCAGTGTCATTGGCCATTCATGAACTGCAAATAAACATCAGGAGTTGCCTCTTCTATCCATTGTGATGGATGTAACAAGACAATAACAAATATTGGTGAAGATCTGATGAAGTTATACTTCTCTACTATTACTGGTAGGAATGTGAAATGGTGGAGTCATTTTGGAAAAATATGCTGTTCCTCTAATAATTCAACATAGTTATCAATTGTATGTTCTACACCTATGTTTTTAATGAAGAGAAATAAAAACCTACATCCTCACAAAAAGTTGGACACGAATGTCTAATATCGTTATTCATAATATCCGAAAGGTAAAAACAACCCAATGTGTATCAACTGATGGACTGATAAATAATATGTCTTTTATATAATAGCATATTATATAATTAAAAGGAACAATGTATTGCTATATGATATAACATGAATGACCCTTGAAAATACTATGCTAAGTGAAAAAGCAAAGCACACAAGACTATATTCCATGATTACATTCATATAAAACACTCAGAACAAGTAATGCTATAGAGACAAGCTACAGAGCACTGGCTGCTTGGTAGCACATAGGACACAATATGGGGAGGGACTGTTATTACGTTCCTGCATACTGTTTTTTCTCTTTAGGAGCGGTGAAATTTTTTTTTGTACTTGGGATTGAACCTGTGGCGGCATGCATGCTCTTTTTACTTTTTATTTTGAGACAAGGAAACACTAACTTACTCAGGCTGGCTTTGAACTCACTTTATAGCCCATGTAGGCCTTGATACTCCCTACTCAGCCTAACCAGCAGAAGTAATTACAAGGTTGTACTACCAGATCCAGCTCGAGTGGTGAAAATGTTCTAAAACTAGATGGTTGCATGACCCCATAAATATACTACACACACACACACACACACACACACACACACACACACACACACACACACACACATTTGTGTAACAGCTCTGGCTGTCCTGGAACTTGCTTTGTAGACCAGGCTGGCCTCAAATTCACAGAGATCCACCTGCTTCTGCCTCCTGAGTGCTGGGATTAAAGGCATGCACCACTGCCGCCTGACTATAATAAATATATTAAAAATGGAGCTGTACCCAGGCATGTTGTCTTAGGCCTTTAATCCCAGCACTCAGGAAGCAGAGGAGGCAGATCTTCATGAATTTGAGGTCAGGTTGGTCTACATAGCAAGTTCCAGGCAACCCAGGGATACATAGTGAGACCCTGTCTCAAAACAAATGGAGCTATGAATTTTAAATGAAAAAGTTTTATGGCTTGGAGATTATAGCTGAATAATTCTGCTTATAAAAATAAAACTTCTTATCCAACAACGGTGGCACATGCCTTTAATGTCAGCACTTAGAAGTAGAGATAAGTGGATCTTTGTGAGTTCAAGAATAGCCCGATGCGGCCGGGCGGTGGTGGCGCACGCCGTTAATCCCAGCACTCGGGAGGCAGAGCCAGGAGGATCTCTGTGAGTTCGAGGCCAGCCTGGGCTACCAAGTGAGTTCCAGGAAAAGGCGCAAAGCTACACAGAGAAACCCTGTCTCAAAAAACCAAAAAAAAAAAAAAAAGAATAGCCCGATGCATATAGTGAGTTCCAGGCCAGACAGGATGACATAGTGAGATTATGGCTCAAAAACAACAAACAAACAAACAAACAAACACCCAACTCCTCCACAATTCTGGGTGTAGTGTCATTAAAGCCCTCTGCAGGCTAGGGCAGAAGGATTGCAATTTTAGGGCCATCTTGGGCTATATAGTGATCTCTAGGATAGCCTGTGCTAAGGGAATTGGAGAGATTGCTCAATGGTCAAGAACACTTGCTGTGCCAGGGTGGGGTGGGGTGTGTGTGTGGGGGGCTCATGCCTTTAATCCCAGCATTCGGGATGCAGAGGCAGGCAGATCTTTGTGAGTTCAAGGTCAGTCTGGTCTACGGAGCGAGTTCCAGGACAGCCAGGGCTACACAGAGAAACCCTGTCTTGAAGAAAAAAAAAAAAAAGAACACTTGCTGCTTTTTCCAAAGGGTCTGAGTTCAGTTCCTAGAACCCACATCAGGTGGCTCACAATTGCCTGTAACTCCAGTTACTGGGGAATCTGACACCCTCTTCTGGCCTCTGTAGGCACCTACACACATGCATGCACACACAGATGCTCATAAAAAGAAATATTTTAAACATACTCACTTTTTTTTTTTTTTTTGGTTTTTCGAGACAGGGTTTCTCTGTGTAGCTTTGCACCTTTCCTGGAACTCGCTTTGTAGACCAGGCTGGCCTCGAACTCACAGAGATCCGCCTGGCTCTGCCTCCCGAGTGCTGGGATTAAAGGCGTGCGCCACCACCGCCCGGCAACATACTCACTTTTATACAATACATTTTTTTCATATTCGTTCCCCTCCTTCAACTCTTCCCAGATCTTCCCCATTTCTTTAAACTCTTTAAAAACAAAAAATAAAGTGTTTAAAAACAAAAATAAATTTTAAAAAGTGGTGACTTGGCACATGGTGAACTTTGAACTCTTAAGAAAAGATTTTTTTTTTTTTTGGTTTTTCGAGACAGGGTTTCTCTGTGTAGCTTTGCGCCTCTCCTGGAACTCACTTGGTAGCCCAGGCTGGCCTCGAACTCACAGAAATCCGCCTGGCTCTGCCTCCCGAGTGCTGGGATTAAAGGCGTGCGCCACCACCGCCCGGCTAAGAAAAGATTTTTTTTAAGTGCTTTGCTTTGTGAAAGGACTTTATGTAGCTTATCTCACATTATCTTGTCAAATCCCTCAGGAGGTATGTAGTATATATACTATTATTACTTCTCTTTTTTTTTTTTTTTTTTTTTTGGTTTTTCGAGACAGTGTTTCTCTGTGTAGCTTTGTGCCTTTTCCTGGAACTCACTTGGTAGCCCAGGCTGGCCTCGAACTCACAGAGATCCGCCTGGCTCTGCCTCCCGAGTGCTGGGATTAAAGGCGTGCGCCACCACCGCCCCGGCTTACTTCTCATTTTAATGACAAGTAATCTGAGCCTGTTTATGGGACTTGTTCACGTTTACATGAAGGTACAGCAGAGAAGGGATTGGAACCCAAGTCTCTCTGCCTTTACATGCTAGGAGTTTTTCACAGACCATGTTATTCACCTCTATACAGATTCAATGTAATCACACTTGTGGGTTCGATTCATGTCTTACTGGGTGATGGCGAAAACCCTGGATCAGTTGGGGAATTACTATGTAGTGATCCATCCTCTATCCAGGCCTCTGAGAGTTAAAGAAGTGCTCCAGGAGAGTACAGAGCCATAAGTCCTTGGTTTAGAATGTGTCTCTACCTGAATGCATCATCTGCAGGACTAGAAATGCTCCAGGTGATACCTACCTAGGCGGTAACTGAGCCATCAGGGGAGCCACCTGGCAACATGATGCTAGCAGAGGTGACTCCCACAGTTATATCCAATAAGCAAGTGACAACTTTTCCCTCTTAGATAAAGACTGGAGTTCTAAAGGTGGTTGCCTTCCCTGCAGGAAGAAATATTTTCCCATACTACCCTGCCAAGGTCAGGTGATGTCTAACTCACCTCTGGTGTCATGACTTCCAGATATAAGGAGAGAATGTGCCTGGAGCGTTCTCAGTCTCCTCTAGGCAGATTAGAAGTACGGGTAAAGTCGGGTGCATTTGGTTGATGGCTGGGACAGCTTGCCTCTCACATTGTAAATCTATGTGAACTGCTCATCAGCTTTCCCTAAGCAGGAGGGTGGAGGTGCCCTAGTTTATCTTTCTGTGCTCAGTCACTCACAAGATTGACTCAGAAATGCTTGCAAAGAACAGGACAGTGAACTGACTAGAATTATGCTAAAATATATATGCTGTGAATATATAATATAATATAATATAATATATAATATATACACAAAGCATGCACGTATTTACACTAGACATACCATCGACACAAGATTGACTCAAGCAGCTTTCTAGACTTGACTCTGGTGTATTTTTGTAGTGTCATGTTCATTGGTCATAATTACGACATAGAAGCCTTGCAAGAACCTCATAGTCTTTCTGAGTCATCCAAAAAAAGAAGAGAGTACTATGTTCACTCTAACTTCCTATAAGTGTTGCTGGGTGGGTTTTTTGTAGGGGGGGCAGTGTCTCATTTTATAGCCTAGGCTGGTTTTGAATGTGTAATCCTCCTACACCAGTTTCCTGGGTGTTGTGATTACAGACATGAATCACCACAATCAGCTTGCTGGGTTATATGTACATGAAAACTGGTAATGTCTGCATATACATATATATATATGTATATACACACATATGTATATAAAATAAGAATATTCAGTGTAGCACAGTAAACTGTTTCTAAACATGTTAGAAGACATAGAATGAGTTTCTCTAACTGAGGTCCTAAATAGGATCTCCAAAGCCTTATTTTCTTGGGTTACCCAGCAGATACAGGGAGCTCAGAGCTGGGAAGAGGTGGCAGCTGCTTCTGGATCTTTCTTCTTGTCTTCCTTTCCTTTCCTTATTTCTTTCCATCACTTATTTAGTGTGTCTCTCTCTGTGTGTATGTGTTTGTGTGTGTTTTTCTGTCTGTCTGTTTGTCTGTGTGAATGCATGTGTGTATTCATGTAGGTACACGGGTACCATCATGTACATGGTGGGAGTTGGCTTTCTCCTTCCACCATACGGGTCCCGGGGGTCTTCAATCGTGGTGACGTGTGCCTGTACTCTCTGAGCCATCTTGCTGGCCCTGCCTCTGGATTTCTTGCCACCTCAGTGTGGTTTTGGCTCTCAAATGCAGGTGCTATTAGGACTGCTGCACTCTTCCTGTGTAATTGACAAGCTACTTACTATATTGGCATCATCCCTGAATCATCTGTCCACATTTTCCCCCTCTGGTCTGTAAGCTATGTGAAGGAACTCACCAAAAGGATCATAGCTGCTATGTCCAGCTGTATTCCCAATGTCTGCCATGATGGATCCTTGAAAAACATCTGTGTAGTGAATAAGTGAAATAATTTGCTTTGGTCAAGTGCTGTGAGAGAGACGATTCCTTCCCTCTCATTCTCCTGTTTTACCAGGTTCGCAAGACATGGTGCTTCCTTCCCCTGCTGCTGAGTTAACAGCATCTGTTTGGCCTGGTAGACTGAGCACTGAGCTTGGCTAGTTGGTAGTCAACAGCTTCTGTGATGCCAGACTTCTTCCTCCTTTCCACAGATACCTTGGCCTGAGGGAATTGTGACTTTGGTCCCTGGGAAAAGCCCATCTGAAGCTGTGAGGACACCTCTTCTCTCTGTAGCCCTGGTGTTGAGGCAGACCTTGAACTTGCAATCTTTGTGCCTCAACCTTCCAAGAAGCTGGGATTATAGGCCTGTGCCACCAGGCATGGCTAGCTGACTGCACTACAGCCTTTGTTAAAGGACCACAGTGGGCGCTGGAACTTCTGTTCTAGAATGAAGGTGAGTTCTGACAGAGGAAAGCCATCCCAGCTTTGGATGGTGGTCCTAAAGGTCTTCAAGACCAGGAAGGAACTATTAACCCACTGCAACTAGGGCCCAAGCCTCTTCAGTGGCACTCTTCTCTTCTTCCTGGCATTTTTCTGAATTTGGGCCAAACCAGGAGGGTCACCTTACACAGCAAGAGCATTCTGTCAGTGGCTGCTATCAACCTGGCACCTAGCAGTTCAGAAGGCCAAGAAACTGGCCCCAAACACCGCACCAGTCTCTGTGGAGGTGATATCAAGCACAAGTTCCTATCTTTCCGGACAGAAGAAGAAAGAGGAACAGAGGTTTTTCTATTTGCTTCTGCCCCTGAGCCAATTGTCTCCATGCTAAGGAGAAGCATTATAAACAGCAGTGGCGCTACAGTGGTCCATTTGGCTCCTAAATGGAGCCAGAGACCCATTTGCTAGGGAAGTCCTGAACTTCTGCCACTCTGCAGGTGTGCAAGGAGCCTCTCAGGCATTGGAGACTTGGAGATGGGGTGTGAAAGTGATGCTTAGCACCAAGAGAACCCGGTAAAGCAGACCTAACTTTGAAAAAGCAACAGGGAAGCCACATGGAAGGTGTTCCGTGAGGCTGCAGTGACACATGCAGCCCATGTCCTGGACTTGGTGCCACAATCTCCACAGTAAGGGAACTATTTGCAACCAGCATTGGCTAGGGCGTGGATGGCATGACAGATAATTGTCCCACAGAGTGGGACTACATAACCATGCCTACTGCCCTCTCTAAGTGGACACCCAAACAGCTCTGACTGTCCCAGCTGGTTCTACCTTGACTGGCCCCAAGTCCATCCTTCTGCCTTCTCCTCTCCTTTTCCCCTTCCCCTCCTGCTCAATAAGAGGTACAGTTTACTTGGATGTGATTAGCCACAGGACCACAGGTGACACCGAAAATGCTAAGGATGGTTTTTCCAACATTTGACCATGTGTAAGTTTGAGAAGTACAGCTACCTCTTCAAGTTAGTCATCTGTAGCCATGCAGACTCTCACCCCCAGTTTCTTCCTGTTCCAATTCAGTTCCTTTCACCTACTATGTGGACACCCCTTCTTTTGGGACCACCAATACTTTCCCAAATCTGCATGTGATGAACTGCCTTTCAATTGCTGTGAACAGTGATATGAGATTGAAAGTTGGGCCTGCTATGTATGTGATGGACTTGTTTGTGATAAAGAACAAAGTTTAAAATGGGTGATACTCATCGGGTGGTGGTGCCTTTAATCCCAGCACTCGGGAGGCAGAGGTAGGCGGATCTCTGTGAGTTGGAGGCCAGCCTGGTCTACAAAGTGAGTTCCAGGATAGGCTCCAAAGCTACACAGAGAAACCCTGTCTTGAAAAACCAAAAACCAAACCAAACCCAAACAAAATAAGCTAAACCAAAACAAAACAAAACAAAAAAATGGGTGATATTCAGCTCTCTAGGTGCTGGGTCATCTGCCAGGAGTGTGATTCTACTCTCAGATACCATGATCTCCATCAGGTGCAGTGACCCCAAACCAAGAAAGTCTTGAAAGTTTAGTAATAGTTAAGTGGCAAGGGCCAGTGGATCAAGTGTTCAGTTTCTGGCAAGGGTGACTCCTGGGTGCTGCTTACATTCTGTCTGTGATGCTTGCGAGCCTGAGGTCTAACACATGGAGGAGACAGCTCTCTGTCACACTCTGCTCCTCTCACTTGTTTTGGGCAGGAGCACTTGGGCTGTACAGCTTTTTTTTTTCAAGGCCTCTGTACAACATCATCAGAACATCTCTGAGAAGTAGCCATACTAGGTTGCCTAACTCGGACACCTTTTGCTTAGAAGCTGCATTTGCTCTTTATGGACCTCCCATTCTAGTTCCAAGCTTTCTTTTGGGCATACCCAGTCTCCCCTACTCCAAGCCTTCAGTGACTTCATATTTCAGACACTTCTGTCAATCCCCAATATGATGAACAAAAGGAAGGTCTTATTTTCATTTTCAACCTTACTTCAGTGAAGCCAGAACAGGCACAAATCTCTTCTAGATTAGTAAATCTCTGCCTTAGAATCAATATAAACCTTTTTGAGAAAACATTTTCTGTGTAGCCTTGACTGGCCTTGAACTCTTTCTGTATCTACCTCCTCAGTAGCTGGCATTACAATAATGTACCATTACAAGTATGTGCTATGATACCTGGCCAATGCAATTCTTATTTATTTTTTTATGTACATTGGTATTTTGCCTGCTTGTATGTCTATGTGAAGGAGTTGGATCCCTTGGAACTGGAGTTATAGACAGTTGTGAGCTGCCATGTGGGTGCTGGGAATTGAACCTGGGTCCTCTAGAAGAACAGCAAGTGCTCTTAACCACTGAGCCATCTCTCCAGTCCCCCAATGCAATTCTTTAATTGGCTCTATCATGTGATTGCTTCTTTCATCTTACATACATCCACTGACTCAACTACAGTGTGTTGTCACAGGCATCCTTTGTGGAACATGTACATGTGAATATCATATGTGTTTGCCAGTGAGGTGTGTCAGTAGGGTGCATGCTACACTTCTGGCTGCTGCTAAACAGGCTGGCACTGTTGGCACATGCTGAACACTAGGGTGATGGAACCCCTCCCTCCATGACTTCAGAGTCAGAGGGCCTCGGACACACCAAAACACTGAGGCTGAGCCCTACCTGCCTTTATCATAGGAGGTGGAAGAGGCTGGCTGGCAGGCCTGGAGAAGACCATCTTCCTGGAGTCCAGCAGAAGGCGGCAGTACCCCGCAATCAGGCAGGCAAAGTTGGTGGCTTCAGGCCACTCCATCAACAGCACCAGAGGCTGTGGAAGAGATGGTTCAAAACATAAAGACATGAGAAGGCGGGAGAGAGGCAGGAGAGAGGCAGGTGCATTTCTGCGAGGACAGTAACAAAGAAAAGACTCCTTGAGTAGTTACAGGAACCACACATTCCAAACCCTACTTGAGGGCTGTAGCCAGGCATTTTCTTCAGTCCTCGACATTCCTTTGTAGTGACTGCTTCTCTAGGTATCAGCATTAAATAAACCTTTACTCACGCATTTAATGAACCACCTTTACTGAAAAAGACTAAAATTATGTAACATCATGTGACTGCTGTGTGGCTGTGTTTGCGTTTGTCAGAGCTCAGCAGATGTGTGGGCCAGCTGGGAGAGTGGGGGTGAAGCTAGGAATCTAGGCTAGGCTGAGGGATGGCCTGGAATATCCTTGAATGTAAGCACCTTGGCTGCATGAGGTATCCTTTGCTCCTCTCCATATGCCCTGACAACATCCAGATGAGCTCCCTGGACACAATACTCCACAGAATGGAGTCCTAACTGTGACTTTAGGGACAAAACCTTTCTGGTCTAAGTCCTGCTTGGACCTTCCTGATCTCCCCTCTATTTCCTGTATTTTCTGAAGTAGCCTGGAAATGGATACTGATTTTTCTTTTCTTTTCTTGGATACACATTTTTCACTCTGTAGCTCTGGCTAGTCTGGAATTCACTTTGTAATCTTGGCTGGCCTCAGATTCATGACACTCTTCTTGTCTTTGTCTTCCCAGTGTTGGAATTACATGTGTCAGCTACCATGCCAGTTTACTGGTAGTTTTTTCTTTCTTTAAAAAAAAAAAGATTTATTTATTTATTTATATGGGTGCTTTGTATGTATGGAGGTCTGTATGCAAGAAGAGGGCATCAGATCTTATTACAGATAGCTGTGAGCGGCCATGTGGTTGCTGGGAATTGAACTCAGGACCCCTGGAAGAGCAGCCAGTGCTCTTAACCACTGAGCAATCTCTCCAGCCCTGTATTGTTTTTTTGTTTGTTTGGTTGGCTTTTGGTTTTTCATGACAGGGTTTCTCTGTGCAGCCCTGCCTGTCCTGGAACTCACTCTATAGACCAGGCTGGCCTCGAACTCAGAGATCTGCCTAGGATTAAAGGTTTGTGGCTGTTTATTGCTGTTTCTTTCTTTCTTTTTTTTTGAGACAGGGTTTCTCTGTGTAACAGTCCTGGCTGTCCTGGAACTCACTTTGTAGACCAGGCTGGCCTTGAACTCACAGAGATCCTCCTGCCTCTGCCTCTCAAGTGCTGGGATTAAAGGTGTGCGCCACCACCGTCTGTTTCTTAAAAGAGCTCCTTGGTCTGGAGTTAAGGGTGGTAGGTTAAACAAGCTATGCAGATACTTTTGCTATGGGAATTCTAAGATCCTATGATATATATGAATATATGAATATATTCCATGAAACTTCAAAGACTTTAGTATTACAAATTTATTTGACCCCAAAGATCTGTTTTTTTTTTTTTTTTTACAGAAAATTTCATACCAACAGGGTTCTTGTTATTTCTTTTTCAGTGCTAGAGATGGAATCTAGGACCTTATGCATTCTGGGCAAACACTCTACAATCGAACTACTCCCCTGTGCCCAGTTGTTGCTGTTTTTAAACCCACAATGGGAAATATTATCACACTCTGTTGATTGATCCTGGAGTTAACTCCTTAACTGTTTCACAGATTCCTATAAAGATAAACAAAGCAGCGATGCATTTTTAAGAAACCCTTGAATTTGTTCTATCATTTTAAAGGTGCCATGTGAGTAAGGTGGATCAAATCAAAGTGAGATAATTTGTGGAGACTGGCTGAGGAGGGAGTCATGGGCTATGAGTAGCCATGACCTTTTGGGATTACTAGAGGGCATTATTAAGAACTAATAGAAAGCCAGGTGAGATGTGGCAATGCCCATCATCCTGTATTTGGAGGGTGAAGCCAGGAAGATCAGGAGTTCAAGGTCACCTTTGGATATCTAGTGAGTTTGAGGCCAGCCTGGGCTACAATAAACCCTGTTTCAAACTGGGGATATGGCTCAGTAGTAGACTGCTTGCCTAGCACAAGCAAGGCCCTGGGTTTGATGTCCAGCACCACAAAATAAAAGCCCAGAAGAATTAAGAGGGAACATCTGTTCTCTGCTTAGCTAGGAGGTGAATGCACCAGTCCATGAGAGAAATGATTAGGACCTTACCAGTAAAAATGAAGGGCCTTCATGACAAAACTCAGTCAACAACCAGATCATCTGCCTTTGGCTTTACTGTCACCTTAGGAACAATTCTGAATTCAAACTAGCTGCTGGTAGCTGAAGTCAGATTAGTTTTCTTTGCTAGCTCTCAGGAACCCAACATATAGGTTAAGTGGAACATAGACTAGTTCATTCGGAGCAGAAGTCAGCACGTGTTTATATGTTTTGTTTTTATTTATTGATTTATTTAAAATTTTTCCTTTTAGTTAATTTTATGTGTGTGAGTGTTTTGCCTGCATGTACATCTATGCACCACATGCTTGCCTGGTGCCCTTGGAGACCAGAAGAGGGCATCGAGTCCCCTAGAAATGGAGTTATGACCGGATCTTAAGCTGTCACGTGGGTATTGGGAATCAAACTTGGGTCCTTGGGAAGATCAACTGGAGCTCTCAATTGCGGAGCCACCTCTCCATCCAATTTGTATGTATTACTGTTACAGGATCCTAACTGAAGCTTGTTTCTGAATCGAGATCCTCCTACCTCAGTTTCCTAAATACTAGGATTACAGGCTTCCACCACCGTGCCCTACTTCATCCTTTTTTAGGGTTATAGTATAAATATTTTAGAACTTACAGGTCACTCAGGCTTTGTTGAAACAGTACTGCCACCATAGTGTGACAATAGACATAGATAATCTGTAAGCTAAACAAATGGCTGTGACTGTGTTATAATGACTATTTATAGAGGCAGGGGGTGGGTTAAAGTCAGCTTACAGGGCATAGTTCGAGCTATTCAACACACCTTGTAACTTGCTTTTTGTTTGTTTGTGTAACTTGCTACTTTTGGGTTTGTCTGAGACAGTGTTTTGCTATGTAGCTCTGGCTAGACTCAAAATCCTGGTAGTTTTCATCCCTCAGATTCCCAAGTGCTGGCATTACAAGCATATACAACCATTCCTGAACCTGGTACATTTTGTTTGGTTTGGTTTGAGACAAGATTTCACTCTGCAACCCAGGCTGGCCTTGAACTCATAATCCTCCTCCCTCAGCTTCTCATTAACCTCGATGCTTTTGTCAACGGTGATTACCTTCTGCTTTGGACACTCTTCTCATGACTTCTGTTTCTGTGAGGCGACACTATGTTCTGGTCCTGTGATCTCTGGCCATCTTTGCATTGGTCTTTCTCTTTTTCTGAGATTTATTTTTATTTATGTTTATATGTCTGCATATTAGCATGCACTCATTCTTGCAGGAGCCCGAGGAAGGCACAAGAGGTGAACAGATCCCCTGTAGCTGAAATTACAGGTGGTTGTGGGCTGCCTGATGTGGGTGCTGGGAAATGAAGTCAGGTCCTCTGGAAGACCTGACTTAACCACTGAGGCATCTCCCCAGCCCTGTCCATACTGCTCTTTAGCTGGCTTTTCCTGTGTAGCTTTTTAACCTTCATCTGCAGTCCTTGGTTCTTCCCCATGGTGGGCCAGCTTTTTCCTCTGGGTTGGGATTCTGGAGTCAGTGCTTCATTTTATTTCTCCTGGAACTCTTCTCCTTTCTCAAAACACAGATACCGCTATAAGTCAAAGACTTTTTTTTTTTCTTTTTGAGACAAGGTCTCATCCTGTAGCCTAGGTTGGCCTATATTATGTAGCCCATACTGGTCCTACACTGCAGCAATCCTCTGGCCTCTGCCTCTAGAGTGCCACCACACCCAGCTTGTTTCATGAAATAGTTTTTAAATATCCAGTTCCAATGCATGTCACAGTAAGGCATTTGGAGTATCACTGAGAGAACAAGTTAATGACTAATGATGCTTCTATTAAATTCATGAAATACCATGGGAAGGAAAAAGGAACAGTCAATACATAATGAGGAGCAATGGCTCTTTTCTCCAGGAAGAGAGGAGCCACAGATTAAATGTTCTCCAGCCATTATTAGGAAGGGACACTGGTGATGTCTATTCTTCCAGAATAATGAAAACTTCTCAGTCACAACAGAATGGTCAGCTTTACATAGCACAAACAGAAAAGGGTAGAATGGGGCAGGGTAGCCAGATATACCTTCTAGCTTCACCCTGTCATCTTCAACAGAAAGACACAGAGGTTTGGATGGTGACAGTTGCTGCCATAAGTACTGGGAGGACACAAGATTCACCAGGGTTGCCTCAGGGCATCCATGAACACCATGGACATTTCCACTGCTGTGCCTTTATTTCAGGATCTTGCTGACTTCTCCATACTTCTTAAGCTTTGTGATGATGCTGAGATATGGGGGTGGGGAGGCTCTCAGCCGGGGGTCCTTGTATGTCTGGTCCCAAGCTGCTTCATCTGTGTGTATTTGTGCCTCATCGGTGGGCATGTTTTGTCATACAAATTGTGACATTTCATAATCTAGAAGACAACTTAAGGCCCTCCAGTAGACCCCTAACTGTCCTTTCTTCCTCCAGTGTCTTCCTACTTCACTTCCCTATTGCTACTTAAGGGATCTTTCTAGTGCACAACTCTTATTATAACTTAGCACTGTCAATAGTGATGAAATCCAACTACCTTACAACAGCTTACAAGACCCTTCAGGATTTGGACCTAGCCTACATCTTCAACCACGTGTGTCTTAGCTTGGTTTAGGACCTCCTCTCCTATTACCACCCCTCACCTTATATTCAAACAATGGCATATAATTGAGTTTCCCAAGCTAGTTCATCCCTTCCATACTTTGACCTGTGCTGATTCCTCTAGCTAAAATACTCCTGTGGTCTGTCCTGCCCACCCAGCAAGCTGTGGCACATTGATGAGCTACCTCCTGAAAAGCAAGATCAACT